ACATTGGCTACTAGGTCGCCATTGTTGTTCTTACAGGAGTACGCCCTGGTCTTGAAACCTTCCGTAAGTCGCCTAACTCTCTGGTAAAATTTTCAGGCATTCTTCCTGTCGGCTAGCATTTTCGGCCTCTCTCTTCTTATTGGGGCAAGTACGTCTCGCTTCCCTCGCGTTGCGCCCGATCGCATCGTGGCCCTGTAGGCGGAATCTTTTTTCTATGCAGCTTCCTGACCCTCCTCATCGTACCAGTTGTTCTTTCGGGATCGCTGAAATCCGACTACTTCTTCGCTTTACGTTCAAATCATTGAAATACTGGCGCATATCTATAAAAACCACCAATTTTGAAAGCCACGTATAAGCCTCAAACCTTCGTTTATTTAATGCCTGCGAAGATATAAGGTTCATTATTTTTGGGAACTACGCCCATTATCACCAATCGCCCATGTTTTGCGCACAAAGCTTATTGATGAATGATACAGTCAGCGATGTCAACTTGCGGGAAATTCTTTGATTTGCGGGGAATTTTTCGCGTCGCGGAAAATCGGGGAATGAGCTGAATTTTGCGGGGAATTTTGACTATTTAATTTTAAATCATTAAAGAACTTACCTAGAGTGCAGAATACTTTTTGTAAAATTCCAACTCTGCCAATTCCGCATTAGCAACACTATAAGAACATTGATATCAGCAATCAAGGTGAATTTAATTCGTCTTGCCAGAAGAGTTGGGAAGTTCACGCGCTAGGTAGTTCAATGTACTAGATCATTGACTTGATGGAACGAACTAGCTCGAAATTTTTAAATAACTATTTGCTCCAAGTCGCAGTTTTTAATTTTACTTATATTCATTTAAATATATGTACATATTAAATAAAGAAAATATTTATTAATTTATTAATAGATGATATTTTATTTTCATTAGCTAATATTAAATAATGATAATATATAAATTCAAGTGAGCCGAGTGGAAGGAAGTGCGAGAGGCCCTAGCAAAAAAAAAAAATCAAAATTCGACTGTAATTTTTACCCACTAGAATTATATTGGCTTCTAAAAATTCCGAGAAAGATGAAATGAGTTGGCATCCCTGGATGGTCTTGTGTATTCTTTGTTGGTTACTGTCTGTATTTTTGGCTCTTCTGACATGTTGTCTTGGATGTGAGTACATCTTGCTATGGTCTCCAATTTAAACGAAAAAAAAAAGAAATTGTGTCGATTATGTAGGTAGTAAATACTACTACTATTAACTGAGGAATTGAGTCCTAAATTAATACCGTACCCTAATTTAATTCAATGGATTAGTGCATTAAGTACGAAAATAACGGATGAAAAAATGAAAGGTTCAAGGACTACAAGAAACCTATTTGTATGTTGTATTCGACCCTACTTACAACTTGCTCTATCTTATATATCGGGTGTATTCCGTTTTTATTTTTGTAGCACTGTATAATTATTGTAGATAGAAGCTCACTTTTAAAGTTAAAACATCCTTCACAAGTTTTAATTACGCTGTAAGGAAAATCTCAAGTTCTGAAATAATGAAAAATATTTCTCGTGTGGAAATAATGTTACTCATACGCACTATCGTACGCGATCTTATCTAGAAAGCGGTATGCAGATCCGTAATCTACGACTCACAATTAAGCTTACATGTTTCAACGCTTTTTTATCATTTTAGTTTCCCTACAGTGTTATCAATGTCGTTGCTCTTTTGTGAAAATTTCGTACTTTGTTTTACATAAATAAATACATACATACATACGTGATATTCAGTTTGCGGTATAAGAGATATTGAACGCCAAGCGCCGATATAATCTTAAAATTATATTTTAAATATAAACTGCTCACATACATACATAGGCCGTATATATTTCTTTACGAAACATACTAAACTCTTTCTGTAATAAAAGCTTGTATATTTAACTTCGTTTAAAACGTTCTTTTAATAAAATAAAGCAAGTTTATTCTATCATTTCTTATCACTATCGAGTTTATTCTTGTCAAGAGAAGAAGATACCATGCCACCACTATTTGAGGGGTATAATTTGTCTAAATAATTTAGTGATTCATTAAGAAAAGTCTGAAAATAAAAGATTTGTTTAGAAGCTTAATTCATAATGTCAAAAATTTAGATTTACCTGGAATGCGTGCAATACGGCCATAATGGCTGGGGATCCAAATCCATGGGTAATCAAAGAGAAGTGTGTTAAGTGACGTTGCATTGACGGCTCTAGAAAATGTTGGGATCTGGTACCATATTGCGTAGTGCGATCTTGGCTTAGCACTTGCATAAGTTCCTTTGTTATCTGTAAATAAAACGTATCATTAAAGTAGCGGCGGAAAAAACATTCACAATAAAATGCTTATAAGATCCAAATTCTTAAGGCCAGTATGCAGCTATCAAGGAAAGCAAAAATTCCATATATTCTTGAGGAAAGAGTGAGGCAACAGGCTGTCACAGGCTGTGAGGTATCAGATGTCCAAATTCCTTGGACACAAACACGAAATAATGGCAATTTTTTTCTTGACTGTTTTCTTGAGAGCTGCATACTGGCCTTAAAGCTAAAAACATAGTGGAGCGGCGAGCAATGCGAAGAGCTAGCATGGAACAAAGCTTCAATTACAAACGTGTATGTACATACATATGTATGCTCTGCTCTTTTCACTACGCGCTCTTCCATTGAAACATATACGACGCTTTGCTCGCCGCTCCTTATACTTTTTTCTATTTTTGAGGCGATGCACGGTGGGGTATTTGGCCCGGAATTCGCGGATTAATTCAAAAAGTGAAATGAGCATATCTTAGTATATAATGATATCAGGGAAAAGTAAATAAAAAAAGTAAACAAAATTAGTAAGTAAATTATTTATTGTTCCGCTGAGTCCAGAGCGCGTTATACATTTCGCAGTGATTTCAAGCCCAACTTTTAATCATATTTTCCGGAAAATTCATGTTTTTATTATGCAACCTTCACCTCAGGTACTATACTAATTTTTAAATGCAATTTTGTTTTCAGAATCTCTCTATATATAAAGTATGAACAAATTCCAGTTCATGAACTATTATAAAGGATAAAAGTCATAGCAGTTCGTTATGAACAATAATTATACCAGTTCATCATAGTAAAAAGTAAACTAGTTGGTAGAAATTTTACTTCGAAAACTGGTATTAAATGCGGAAGTCATACCAGTTCGTCATGGACTATAATTATACCAGTTCTCCGCAGTGAAATGCCAAACCAGCCAGTATAAATACTAGTTCATTAACTATTATGCGCTAAAGCGACGTCCTACCATTTCGGCGATTTCGAACAACTTATGCGATCAGCGACATCTGTCTTTGAATAGCCACAACCAAAACTAAAATGCGGTAAATTGCTTTCATCACAAATTTCGGCTGCGGCGTCGAGTTAAGACTACCGATTCTGGTTCTGAAATCTCCCTGCAGTGAAAAGCCAAACCAGTTAGAAAAAATACTAGTTCATTAACTAGTATGTGCCTACCAACTCGACAATTTCGAAGAACTTAGGCGATCAGCGACATCTGCCTTTGAATTGCCAAAGCCAAAATAAAACGCAATTAATTGCTTTTCTTACAAATGTCGGCTGTGGCGTTACGTGAAGACTACTGGTTCTGGTTCTGAAATCGCAGGTTCGAGGCCGCTTGGAGGTGGTTAAGATTTTTAAAGTTAAATAAATTAAAGCAAAAATAATTTATTCAATTTATAAATAAATAACAAATTTGAAAATCTAATTGCATTGCAAAAAAACTTTTAGGAAGAAATGCTTGAGCTATAAAAACAAAGAAATTAAACAAAAATATTTTTTTTATTAAATTTGAAAATTACAATAAACAGCCTAAACAAAAAAATAAATTTATAACAAATAAAAATAAAATAAAAAATAGAAAATAAAAAAATTTCCCTGAGCCAGCATTTGAGCCTGGGACCTCAGGCTTACCACGCGAGTGCTTTGCTCTGTCGGCCATTGTGACTGCTGGAGCGTGGTGAGCAAAAAGGCACACTTATGCTTTTCACGGGGCATGAATTGGCAGACTATCTCATCAACTGGTATGATGCTACTAGTATTTATACTGGTAGCGTGCTGATGCAGGAGCGGACAATTGACATACAATATGACACCGCCATGTTAAATAAAAAAAGGAGTAAGTGCGCCTGGGCCACACTGTAGAAGTGAAACTTACGTTACATATCTAAGTTGTGTCATAATTACGGTGACCATAAATATGGATTCAAAATGAAGGACAATTTTTGAACAATATGCCTGCATATATTTACGTAGTATAAAAATATCAAAAGAGTATTTATGATTCTAAATTCTTAATACATTTTAAACTTTAAAAATGAATCACGTTTTCTTCATTGACAATAATCTTTTTTTACATGCATATTTATAAAAGTATAGTAAAACATATTATAATTAAAAGTCGTTCAAAACGAAAACAATACCCTTCTTTTTTTGTTTTTTTTTGGTACTTTTCGCAGTTATTTGTCAAAAATCGACGTAATGAATCGACGTAAATGACGAGTTACAAAATGCCCTTTACAAAAATATATAATTTGTGCAGATTGCGCTCCATAGCATCTACATTTCTAATCCGATTCTCATTATCTTTGGCTCAAAGTTTACTGTAATGATATATCTTCTTTATCGAATTTTTTAAATAATGAAAAAACATAATCAAATGAAACTGCGTATTTGATTGAAAATCTCAATTTTTTCGCCTGTAGCACTAATAATTTTCATTGAAGTCGCCACAAGTTATACTATATTTTGGTAAGAGGCACATCAAAACCCTTCGAGCTGTAAGTCGCTTACGTTAATTTGCAGATTTTTTCATGAGATATTGAAGAAAAGCTACGAAAAGTACCAAAAAACACTTTTTTTTTAAATCCATCCATAATTTTAAATAATTTTAAAACGAATAAAATGCGGGACAAATGCAGGACACTTGGATAAAATAAGTACATTTTCAGGTTTTTCAAATTTGAAAAACTACGAAGGACCGACCTTTTAAAAACAGTACGGTCCTGCAAAAAACAGAACGGATGGTCACCGTAGTCATAATCAATATATCGAGGGCTTATATTCAATACAATCTACCTGCAATTTTCAGAAAAGCTACTTTCCGATGTTGAACCCATTTGGTGCTTAGCTGTCATCACTAATGTTAATTTGAACTATGCAATTCAATAACAAATTTTTCTAACAAACGATATACATACGTGGTCAGCATCAATATCATCGATGGCAGTTAAATCGTCGATGAATTTCGGATAGGTTGTATTGAATCTAAGCCCCCGATATGTATTTTATTGGTTGGAAATTGTACATAAAACGATAGGTTTGTTATTATAATGTTATAAGTTTAAGGTTTTATTTTTTTATCGATAAATATCAATAGCAATATCGATAAATATCGACAACAAAATCGATAAATATATCGATAACTAAATCGATAAATACCGATAACAAACCCGATAGATATCGATAACAAAATCGATAATTATCGATAAAAAAATCTATAAATATCAATAACAAAATCGATAAATATCGATAACAAAATCGATAGATATCGATAACAAAATCGATAAATATCGATAACAAAACCGATAAATACCGATAACAAAATCGATAAGTATAGATAACAAAATCAATAAATATCGATAACAAAATCGAAAACCATCGATAACAAAATCGAAAAATATCGATAACAAAATCGAAAAACATCGATAACAAAATCGATAAGAAACGATAACAAAATCGATAAATATCAATAACAAAATCGATAAATAGCGCCAACAAAGTCGCTAAATATCGATAACAACATCGAAAAATAACGATAACAAAATCGATGAATAGCGATAACAAAA